TTACTTTATGCTTACCTGTCGCACCGCGATATGCCCATATGTTGACGTATAGCCATCACAATTTCAACTTTAGACTAAAATAGTTCCGTTGCAAGCGGCTCGAAAAGGACGAGGTGGTAAACTAGCAAACGAAGTTGTTATCGAAGTCTACATTAACCATGCTAGTATAGCAACAAAGTTTTCAATGTCACCCAGGTACAGGCTTGTCTTCACATAGAGAGCTAACATTTTTCGCTATTTACTTCTACTTAATTATAAGAAAGATCTTAGACAAGATCATTAGTAATGCTATCTCATGATAACGACTGTCCGATTTTTTATTTTCAAATATATTTAACAATGATTCAAAAGTAGAATAAATAAAAACGATATAAATCTATTCCTTGACTGGTGCATCTCTAAAGGATTTAGTAGACTAATAGAAAAAAAATATATCGATTTCTTGAACAGTGCCTCTCTAAAGGACTTATTAGAAAAAATAGCTCAACATGTGGAAGCAAATCCAATCCAGTGTTTATTGGAATTATCACCCAAACCAGATGGTACTAAACCTGAATATAATCCTCAGAAACCTGTTGGAGCTTTAAATCCAAAAGTAGTGCATTTCCAAGTCAAAGTGGACCCATCCAATACTGGTATGACCATTCCTCTATGCTATAACTACCAAAATGTAGTACTATTGCTTAGTTTCCATTAAGTTTCTATTCCACTCTTTATATCAAAATTCACTTCTAGCCAACGTAGAAACTGCTAATGAAAATATTACCGAAAATGAGATCGCAATGACTGAAGAGACTGAAGATTTACAAGTCAGAAGTGAAGAAAAACAACTCATCACATCCAACGATATCACTCTTACAATGGATAATAACGAGCATTTACCTCAGGAAAGGAAAGAAAACATCAACGAAACTGTCATTGAAAATGGAGTAGTAGAATCGAAAGAATCAGAAAGCAACGATGAGAGATCTAGTCTTCATAATTCTGATACCAATATCAACGATAGTACCATCATGGATACTGAAAATGAGGATCAAAAACCTATACTTGAAAAGGAAAAGCCTATGGATAGCTCTATCCAAGATAATAATATGAACCAAACTGCAATGAGTAATGCTGAAACTGAAATAATTGATGCCAACGTATCTGTTGATGCAGGAACAGTGGTAAAAGAAATTATTGACGATACAATTGCTCATGTTGTTAAAGAACCTCCACTCACTCATAATGACGAATCGAGTAATATTAATGACGATACTATACAAAATGAAAGCTGTTTAGAAGATGTAGAAAATCATACATCTATCGCTAAAGAGTCTATCGAAAATGATCGTAACCAAATGAGTCATGATTTAGAGACCTTGCCTGCAGATTCTATGACGGACGCGAACAATTTACCGACTGTCAACGATCAAAAGATTGCAACTGAAAGTCAGCAATCATCGGAAATGATAGAAGCAGAAGCTGCAGATGATATTATAAAAGAATCTAATTCTGCAAATGAAAATAATGATGAATTACACATTGCTAATATTGACCAGCTTACTAAAAATCAGAATGATAACCATCAACTTCCTCAATCTACAATTTTGGAAAGTAAAATATCAGAATTGGATACAAAGGAGAATCATGCTACTTTAAATGATACTACAGAAAATATTCAATCTATAAATGATGAAACAACCACCATAACAGCCAATTCAGTAATCAATAAGGAAGGCGAAAGACTAGAAGATAATGTAGACAGCAGTTCAATGCCTGTACAGGTCTGTTATAGATATAGTATACGCATATTATGAGTAAGATAAATTTTTGTGGAAATATGACCAATAATCTGTTTCCCCTGATATACTATAGAATACGACAGCACCGCCATTACATGAACAATCAAGCCAAAATTCAAATATACAATTAACGCAAAATATAGAAGTAAGTAATGCTTGGAAATGATAAAACTAACATCATACGGTAATATTGACTAGTGGATCTAGAAAATTGGCGTGTGATAGTAATTTAAATTATCTTTCTACTTTTAAAATTTTTATAACTGTGTAAAGAGTAATGGAGGGCCTGTACTGAATAATGGATCAGCTATTCAATCTTCAACTAAAGTAGCGGACAAAATTGATGCTTCTAATCTTCCACCATTGGCATTAGATCATAAACAGGTTATGGGACATTCTTTCACGCGCCAAATGTCATCTCCTGCTGAACTTGCTCCTACAACTACACGTCGAAAGGCGCCAGCACCACCACCACCTTCTTCATCAGCTAGAAGAGATACTAAAGAAAGAATTAAAAAAATTGTTGCACCTCCACCACCATCAATCATAAAGTCAGCTGGATTTACTGGTCATGATGTCTCATCATCCATTTCCGAAAAAGAAGAAGCAGAAAAATTTCAAAACGGAAATATCGGTCAGCAACCTGCCAATGTACCTTCAGAAATTAATAGACCTCGATCTAGCACAGCCCCAACGCCTGATGACAGTAACAGAACGAGAAGTACTACAGCAATACAAAAAACTAAAAAGCAGGCGCCGCCGCCACCACCGCTTCGGTCTTCGAAAGCAAATCCTTCTCGTATTGATAAGGTAATGGGCAAAGTTCTGAACTTAAAGTACTGCTTAATGTAGAAATGGTATCTTTACGATATTTTGTTCAATAATTAGTAATGTCCAATCCTAATTGAAAGATTCGTTGTTACCAATTTAAATATTTAGGTTGTACCTGGTCAAAACCCCAATGTATCCAGAAATGGCACAAACACTGGTAAAATTGCAGGTATGCTGTGTCTTTGATATGACACTATTTCCACATGTGTATTGAAAATCTATAAATTCTACTGCTGATTGTTTCAATGTCAATTAAATTCTGCTTTAAATTACCAAAGTTAAAATTCTATTTCATACTTGACGATATCTATCATTGAAAGCCGTAATCTTGCTATCCTCTCAAGTATATTTCCGTGTATGAATTTACAGATACTCAAGGGAAAAAAGCTGAAAATCTAGTGTTTAATGTCCCCCCACCACCACCAGGCAAACCTCCAGCGAAATCTCAAAAGCCTGCTTTGTTAAACTCAGATGTCGATCTAAATCAGTTGCATTTTAATGGAAAATCAATGATGGATCTTTTGCAAAATGATTCTAAATTTAAAGGTAACATCTTATTTATCTCATTTTTAAACGGATACTGGACGTAATTATTTAAATTGAAGAAATCATCTATTTTAAAGCGATGTTTTAAATCAGGAGATCAAAATAATTACTTGAACTGGATCTTAACATCATTTGTTATTGAAAATTTTCTCACAGATTGGTTGCCAAAATCAGCGGCAAACTGACGTAAACTATCTAAATACAGCTATAGTTACAGAAGACAAGCCGATGAGCAAAGTTAATAATTCTTTCAAATCTTGATAGTACCGTATATACTTTTATCACTCAAACAGCATTTAATTTTATATATTTTGCGTATATGGTTATATACTAGTGGGTAGCCTAATTTGGTGAAATATTTTACAATGCAGAAAAATTTTTAATAACTTAAATATTTTATGGATGGAAATTAAGTCAATACTTGAAGTTATATCAAATTTACCTGTTTACTGATATCATCTAAGGTAATCTAATCGGCTAACTACGCTTTTCTTTTGGAAGGGTTCGTTACCCTACGAATTATTGAAGGTATTAGCGTTTCTGCATTCACATTAATTCTTTAATTAAGAGGTCTATATGTTAATACAATGATATGATCTGCAACTGGTGACAGACTATAAGATAGCTTTAAGAGATTCTTAAGTAAAGCGAAGGCTACACATTGTGAATGTATTGCTATTGAACTGTTAATAAAATTCTTTTTTTAATTTTGGAACGTGTTTACTTTTTTTAAAGGCAACGGCTTAAATATTATCGTATCGAAGGGTTCGGTCATAACCATATTCTTATTCGATATTTGAAAGCATTACATCAGTACCAAATTTCTTAAGTTTACCTCATAAATGTGCACTATTGTATAGCTTCTTGGTATTGACACATACGGTAGTAGCATAAATTGTATAGTAGTTTGGGAAAACAAAGTTATCCGTTGAGCCGTTCAAAAACTATAAATCTTGCAAATTTTGCTTGGTTTCAAAGACATTCAATTGCAACAACAACGCAATAACCTCATAAAATACCGCAAAATATCATTAATGGATGCCATTTTATGATTATTGAGTAGCACGGGACTTGTCATTACAATATTGTTATTAAGCCGCATACATTAATGGATTTACATCCATATATATTGGAAAATTATTGAAAAATTTGACATACAAAGCAATCGGTAGGCCTTACAACTTTTTTGTCATCTAGAATGCTTAAGCATTACAGTCAGGGCGCTTTAAGTTCGCATCTTATTCATGTATGAACTTTCGATGACATCACTTTATAAATGAACGAACAGCTATATCAATGATAATATGCTTGTAAATTGCGTATATGTTGGATAGGTTTATAGTGCTGGATTTAAATATTTTACTACTTGACCGGAAATAATTAATACACCTACAAATTATTTCATTCATCTTAAAGTCATATATTCGGCTATACTCTTTTCGCGAATATCATGTATTAATCATAATGTATATAACTTGTTATAAATTAACAGAATTTCATAATTGTGATCCTTTAGTAAAGCCTTTGTTACTACAATTTTAGGAACTTTCCATGAAGCATATCGATAAATACAACACGAATATGGTATAAATATAAATGTCGGGACATTGAAGAAATGTAGCAAAACTTAATTGCTAATTACTTCGATTAAAAACAGTATGACAATAAGTTCAATGTCCAGCAACTTTAGTACACAGCTATCCATAATGATAATTATATTTGAAGTTTTAAATAAGGTTGAGATAGTACAAAAGACATATAAAACCAGGGAAACTTAACTCATCATAATATAATTAACGAGAACTCCTTCTTATGCTCTATATTCAGAATTAGGAACCATTAACTTTCCGATGGTCTAAATTCTGGTCTTCGTTGCTGGGGTGCTGAAATTTTAGGTAACTGTTTGCGCTTGAAGAATCCAAGCTATTTATGTAGTTCGAAAGTAATAAATTAGAACCATTTTTGATATACGAGCACACCATAATGAAAAGATACAAATCAGTTGGAAATAGCGAACTTACGATGTATAATATAAATACTATGATTGCAAGGAAAATAAGACCACCAACAATGGATAAGACATAAATATAAGACGGAACAGGTTGTGGTGTTGTGGTAATTGAAGAAGTAATTGTAGTGGTCACCTAAATACGAATGCATATATAGAATTAAAACCAATATTGCCCATAATATTTGCTTTCATAATACAATTTAAATACTAATTTACTAACAGAAATGGTGTTACTATTTGATTGGGTAATTTGATTCGTTACAAGAGCAAAAATAAGTTTAATGGATGACGAAGCTCTAACATTTTGAGTTCCATAGTCCTTTAAATAAATAACAAAGATTAACAAAATTATCTTTATCAATGAATTAAAATTAATCGATTTCTACAAACGGCATGAAGTGACAGGGGTTATAGTCTAATCGATGAATTACCGATGCTAAAGTCGCACTCCACAAACGAGAAATAACGCTGATTGAAGCAGATTGTTGAGAAGCTAAATAGTCGATATCACAAGTGAAAGTATCACAAATGACGTTGCCGCATTTCTAATTTGTAAAATTCAGAGCATCTCGATTAGATACGTATTACTGTATACGCATGAATAGCAGCAGTTTAAATCCTACAAACCAAGTCTGACCCAGTATACGATGTTGTAGGTACGGGAGTATCATAATCTCTTTTTCTACGAGTTAGTCTTGAACCAAACCTAGCGCTAACATTTGTTCTTTGGGTAACCTATGTAGGTAATTTTATTATTTAATTATACTAACGAAGCAAATAGTTGATTAATAATACTTAAGGTTACCGGAACGTTGAGAGAGTTTAGTATCCCACTTTTCACAGTACATTTGGCGTTTGACGACATCTTTAAGTAATTTAAAAAGTAGAAATTACGCAAAAGTACAGTCACGCGTAACTAGGTAGTTTAAGTTCACGAGGTACTTACATTTAGGCTAATTAAGTACAAAAGATGCTTCCCACTAGGCGCATAGGAAGGCCAGGAAATTTCGATTCTTACCGGAGGATAAACTCCAGGTCCAATATTACGCATCTTTTGGATTTAAGAAATAATTTTAGAGCATATCATACGAGGATTTTAAAGAATTAAGATCAAAACTTACATATAAGTCATGAATTACCAAACTTCCGATATCGCTATCTTGCTTTACGGCACTTTCACCATAAATTTCATTACCAAATGTAACCACGTCTGGTCTTGATATTCTATGTTTCCAAAGTTAAATAAAAATATTAATTCATTACTTACTCTAGCAGTTATTATCGAAATATAAAACCACAAATATGCACCCTGACATAACCAAGGTGGCATTATAAGTTATATTGATATTTAAAAGAAGCTGATTATCTATCAGTGCAGACGGTTTCTCATTCCCTAGCCTGTAATTTTACATAAAGAATAATGGTCTTAATAAACGAAAACTGTAGGGATTTTATGACAAATTCTGGACTTACGATGTTACATTTACTAGAAAGCGCAAGCGAGTAATATTTAAGGCAATTCTTCTAACATCAAAGGCCAACCGTAATTTGATCTGCTCGAAGAAATTTTTTGATATAGTTATCGATCAGTTTGCCACAAAATGACTTGTGCGATCACAGTAGAAGGGTACAAGACATCACACTCACCGCACGTTGAACCTTCGTTAACGGATTACCAACAGGACAGTCTAATAGTCTTGAATTAACATTTTGATTGCAGACTGTGTCCTACGTTAAAATAATTATATATAATAGAAGATCTAAATAGATGGCTTTCAAAATGTAACCGCATTCACAATATATTTACCGACTGCGTTTGCAAATATTCTACGCCAGCAGGCAAGTGAACATATAATTTTGCATTAAATGCGTCATCGCCAGTATTATTAACGTTAAAATTAATATTGACCACGTTTGTTACACCAACGCTAATTGCCGGGTAATTGCTAAAATTATGATTAAAAATTGAAGTTGATCTATAAAATTTAGCCTTCAGGAGACGATCTCAATATCAAAAGGTTTTAGCATCCTATTCTTACCCATTCCAAATTATTGACGCATTCAGATGTAAATCTGGTATACATATTGAGGAGTTGAAGCAACTTTTTTCATAAGAGATCTAATTTGTTACAATTGTCAAAAGCAAAAATTCTACTAAATAGGTGTTTAAATCAAATGTATGTGTGGTGCAACTTAAAATAAATTTTGCCATAAATCTGCTATAACATCCGTAATTATCTTACTATGCGACTTCCAGTTGTCGGAACATCAGCAGAAATAATAGGAAAAGCATTCACTTGGAAAAGCTCACCAGAAGGACTGTTAGTAGGTCTGGCATCTTCGCTAAGCGAGTATCGGTAGGTTACGGATATATCAGATATAAAATTATTAATTTCGTTCTGCAAGAAAATTGGATACTTTGTTAGATTTGTTAGGACGTGTAGCTAGAAAGACATTAATCAACCGGATCAATTAGGTTTAGATTTTTAACCTTCAGAAATAAAGTGTATTGATTGCAGCTTTGTGTGGTTAAAATCGCAACCGTTTTCTTTATTTTATTTTGCCCATTTTCAAAAAATACCCGAGACGGGATCGTATTTGCATCTGCTTCTAACTCAACGTTTAAGTCTGAACACAAGAAATAAGTTCTTTATTATTTCAGTAAAAGCAATATGATCAACATGATACAGGTGTTAGACTTACTCCAGGAGGATTGAATACTCTTTGACCGATAGCTAAAGCATAACGTTGCATTAACGCTAAATATGAATAAACACATACCGTTACAATTAATGACCATGAACGAATTTACAAAATTAGTGTATTTTACAGATAATGCAACAAACCATGCATGTTTATTGCCTTGGTAAACGCAAGATTTTGATTCATTTCTCTTGATAATTTGTTGAGAAACTATAAAGGTTGTATTTATTGACAATTTTGGTCTTGCCCTGATATTAAAATCACGGATATCAACATGAAATGTTTGAATATTAATAATATACTATAACAAAGTAATTATCGATTACAGAGAAATAAAAACCGTACCTAAATACTAGGACTGTATCTGATTCATACGAACCAACAGCGACATCTTTATTGTAAATAAAATTAAATCATTTCATGACGTATGATATCGGACATTTTCTATCTCTACTGCTACATGAACTAGATCAGTACAAGTACTAACCTGGATATCCGTTTTTGTCAACATCAATTTTGCCAGATACAGCTATACCAAAGCCGTTTAACTTCATGTTGGCGAAAGAGGCAGCATCAATAGCCTTTACAATTTGGAATTGATCAATACAATGACATTTCAGTAAAAATTTCAATAAATGAACGACCGATTTCGTAACACAATGTAATATCTTACTTGAGAGAAGGACCTCTTCAAGCCAAGGTTGCCATCTCCACGATATATATATACAACACCAGTTTTATTATTTCCATCAAAAGGAGCACCAATTGCAACGTCTAAGATGTAAACAGAAAGAGTAACATTAACATCAAATTATCTATAACGGTGGAAAAATTTAAATAAAGATAATATAATATTAGCTATACTGTATACCGTTGAAACCATCTTGATCTATATCACCAATTGATGTTACTGTCAATCCAAATGCACCATTAGTAACTCTACCAATCCTAAATCCACGTTCTACGAATCCTCCCTTCATTAGAAATACATATCGTAATACAACATTACTATATGCGAAAAGCTATAGTTATTAAAATTTCCAATTAAAATTAATTACATGTACCTTTCCGGTATTGAAATATATATATATACGACCCTCTTCTTTAACTCTAGAATAATATGGGGATCCAATCACTAAATCATCAAATCTAGGTGATAAACATATTGCATTCATCAGGCGTCGGTAAAAGTTTATTAATAAGAAAATAATACAGACATTGAATAATCATTCTATATCAAATTTGTCACAAAGTTTTCAAATTAATCTTTTCGCTATAGCCTTAGTTTACCCGTCATTGTTCAGATCAACGGCAGCAAGTGACGTTCCATAGCGTTCTCCAATCTATATTAATGAATACGTCAGATCAATTACTGGAGTTACGAATATAATAGAAAACTCTAATGCCAGTAAGTAATACAAGTATTGCTGAAAATATTCGAATCAATCCTACCTGATTTCCAGATAATGTTAAGTTACTAATCAATTCTAAAGCCCCGCTATTTTGTTTGTAGAACTTAACCTAGAACGTCAGTAAGATTGTACGACTGCTAAGAACTTAATTGAATGACTAAACAAATATTGCCCGAGATATAAATTTATTGTTTATATATTGTATATACATAGATAGCTACTAAAACAAAGGTTGCTAACCTGGCCGATAATATTAGCTCTTGGGGCACCAGCGGCAATAATTTGCTCATTTTGTGATAAAAAACGTCCCGATGTGATACTATAGCCTGTGAGATTTAAATAACGCCTTCAGAAGATAATTCCGTAGTGAAAGATTAGACACATATCTACTTCATTACCAACGAGTGTATCATCATATTCGCTGCTGACCAAATCTGGATTATTTTTGATAGCATTGTTATTGGTATCATATATAGCTAATTTATATGTTCCACTAGATGTTGAAGGGTTAAATTCTGTAACCTCAGCCACGGTTCCTATATTTCGTAATAATAATAAGGTTAAAGATTGTTATCATATATTATAGCTAGTAGAAATTGGCAGAGTGTAGGCTTGCTACCTTCAAAATTGTTGGCATTTGAAGCATATGATGCGCCAGGTGCTCCAATAATTGGAAGGTAATTCTACAATCGATCGCAACGGTAATATAGTATGGACAGTTAGCCCTGGTAACTATGGTTTTAGTATCGCTTTTACAAGATAAAATACACAGAGTAGTGGGTATGCTAATTAGCGATTAGATCGAATGTATAGCAGATAGCTATATCAGATGTACAGTATGGAGTCATAATCAAACATTTCAGAGGTACTATGTAATTTCAAATAATAAATGCAACTTACTGTAGTGAAAGATGATGCCCATCCCAGTTGTACATTACCACCTTTAATTGAACCTATTCCAGTATAACAAATTCAAAACATTGGTTTACATCGTGAAAATATTGACTCCAAAGCTACCCTCCGCTGCTAGTGCTGCGGATAACAGATTCTTACTAAAATGCTATTATAAAACGTGGTAATAGATCTGTTTTGAAGTTAAACCTGAAAAGATGAAAGGATCATAGCTCTCTCTTCCATAAAACCTCTCAAGGGTATTATTAAGAATTTTACATTTTCCTTTCAAGCGATACTGATAATTGCCATTTTCGAAAAAAATATTTTGAAATCTGGGGGCACAGACCTACGACACAAATGTAAAAACATTTCCAGTGAACACCAAATTGACGTAGGACGTTCTCCAAACGTAATGATTGAAATTTTTACTGATCACACTAATACAGTAAAGTGCGATGCAAGCTGTGTGTGCTACTTTGATGATGTCTACTTAATGCCGCAGTTGGCTAATGCAGCAAGAAATTTACCATCTACTTACTATTGCTCGCTTCCCTGGTCCTCCTGTTGCCACAGATGCACCAAGCCATTGACCAAATTTGGGTTGACGTTCACTAGCTGCAAAATGATGTGAAAAATAACTTTGCATATCTTTGAAAATAATATAATAATATTATTACTTGAAAAATTGCAATGATAATTCGTTGACTAGGTAATTCAAGAGTTCAATATTCCTCCATTTCGTTTCACATAACGTTCAAAAGAATGGCACATTTACGAATGGGCCATACAGTTTACTGTGTACAAACAGGGTGCGCAACAGACAAATAAAATGAATAGAAAATATCAACATGCAAGGAAAGAAAGTAATTAAAATCTGATGATAACAAAGTACCAGTATTTACGAGTGTGCACATCAGATACTCAATACAATATACTCGGTAATGTAATGTTCGATCGTAAAGAAAAGTTGTCAAAATTTGAATAGGGCAACTTTGACATTCAGAATATTGCTAAATCAAAGTCATGGCACTTTCTTTACCATCCTGATACATATTATAAAGTGTACTAGGGCACTGAAATATGGTAAGAAATTCACTCAATAAAGATTTTAGATGATATCGCTACAGTGCATCGGACCTTCCGACACTGTAAGCAGATAAAACTGAACATGCATATCACCATTCTGACGCTAGGTAAAGAATATACATCAAGGCGTGATCTAAACAGTGCTATTTAACAAACGGTTCCATTGAATTTGAAGACTGCAATATGGATTTCTGAAGAAGCAGTCGCAAATTTTTTGACAAAACATCCTATTAATATGAGTACATACAGTAGGTCATAGACTTGTTATAACGTATATGATGAATTTCTTTCGTTTTATTAATCGGACGTGGGCATGTTTCACCGCTTAGACTGAACTATGCAAATGTACTGAGCGTAGAAGCTGAAATAAAGCACAAATAAACTATTACTAAATATAAATATGTATATCAAAAGTTTTCAAATTCTTAAATAGATATTCGAAATAGTGTAATGTGCATTAAGTTGTATATACTGAATTCACATCAAGCTACTGTATACCTAGCATTGAATAATGTACTTTCTTTCAATTATACATCTAACGTTTACGGTCTATTCATGCACAGCGAGATCTTATGACCTCACCAACATCAGAGACTACTAAGAGAAAAAATAACATAATCCTGCAGTATTTCACGATAAATAAATTGGTTATCGGCGACAATCTAAAGTGCTAACGGTAAAAGTGTATAAAATTCACACTATAGGGTCTCTAGTGTCTCCAATTCACACTAAATAGTAGATTACATGGGATAACCTACTTGTATAATTAATTAACATTTTACATGCGGCCGATAGGTGTCAAATGGCGGATCAAGGATGTAAAGATAGCGTAAATCATTTTTAATTGTATTATTTTATTAATGTGATCAACGACTAGCGAAGTAATATACTTTTACGCCTTTATCTATAAGAAAAACTTATAAATTAACGAAAGACGTTACAAATTAATTATTCAGACATATTTACCCCCCCCCCCTTATTCTGGGTCAAACTATCATGCAATATCATGTAAGACGGATACTTTGCAATCGCCCAGTACATACATTGTATAAAGAGTTGATTATCATTGCAAGGAGTTCAAAAATTTACTTAAAATGCTATCACAGGTTGGCAGTGTTGGATGTTTTCGATGGCGGTAAGAGATTATAAAAAGGCTGTGTGGTTACTATTGCAAACTAGAAACGATAGAAGGCAATGGGTATGATTTTATCCTTACTGATTGTCTATGTACAATACAATCAATTCATTGGGAAATCCATGATTTAGCTTGGCAAATAAAATAAAGAAAACAAGTCTAATGGTATTGTAAAAATTAGACTGTGCAATACTGTATCCTTAACATTAGGCATTTATATACAGAAGTTAAATCGCAAGAAAGATAAATAAAAAATAGTAAAGATGAATATATGCTTATTAATCAAATATGAAATTCATTTCACTAAGAATGAATAGCGGGAGAAATGCTGTGGTTTACAGTTGCGTGTACTGTGGTCTGTGGCTGCACTTGGTTTAAGATACAGTACAGTAGAGTGGAAATCAACTTTCTGACCGACTAATGAAATAGGCTGCATAAGAAGCCCATTTTTAAGAACAGTAAGGCTGAGCAAGTATAGCTAATACATCCATGATTGAACTCTATATTGAATACTTACCACCAGTAGCAAAATTGTCATCGATGTCAATGCGATGACAGTCCGAAGCATTCTGGCGATTGGTTATCGGACACTTAAAGACTGCTCCACTTTGCAAGTTGTTTATTTTATATTCCGGTGCACCCACTAATACCCTTTCAATCATCGTATAAAAATAATAAAAATAGTTAGTATTGGATAGTCTATGATCTTCCTCGATCTCAATACAAGCGATAGGCGTTATTATTGGTGTTTCATTTCAGTTCAGCAAGGGAATTACAAAAAAAATGTCAAGATTTTACAGCCTTGTTTTAAAAACAAACCAAAATGTTGAGGCATCCTGTTGGTGTAATGTAAGAGCGAAACCAAATAAAGAGCTACTTCCATCGGTATTTGATTGCTTTTTGACTATAGGTGAGGATTGCTCAAGGTTATAACTGAAGGAAACGATGGCCAAGTTAAGTAATAAATAAAGCACTAGAAATGAAATTTTGCCAAAATGGGTGCCATTTTCAACCATGGACGCCATGTCTTCTAGTTGTCTGTGATTTGCCGCCCGTGGTTCTAGTCTACTGCCAACCACAGAGAGAGCGAGTGACCGTATTCGATTCAGCTCACATTACACTGAAGTGTTTCATTGTTGTCGACGTGCAGTGGACTTCACTGGTGTTCTACACGGTACTGTACCGTTACGTGTTGTGGCGACGTTGACACGAGCATCGATCGACCGTAATGAGTTGAAGCTATTGCGGTGACATGCTGGTGCGGCAACGTGATCCATTCTACAGTACCATCATAATGCAGTACTGTACGCTGTGTACAGTACTGTACTATACTGTACAGTACTGACTGGACACTGTTGAGTAGAGTGTACAGTACACTATTACAGTACTTGCAGCACAGTACAGTACTGTACTGTGCTGTAAACGTCCGTGCTGTGTAATACTATTTGCACCAGGTACTGCACAACAATTGTTTCTTCTATAAGTCTGCACATGTTGAAACATATGCGCTAAAACATGACTGGTAAAAGTATACTGCACTGTATTACAGTAAAAGACAGTCGACATTTAACCTCTCTGGCGAGAACTGAATCCACTAGAGTTTGGTTAGGACCCATCCTACTCAATCGTTTCCAAACTTTGAAACCAAAATGGCAGCACGTTTGGTTAAGAACCATCCTATCGTAAGGTGCTCTATCGTTACCAAACTTTGAAATCAAAGTGGCAGCACGTTTGGTTAAGAACCATCCTATCGTACGGTGCTCTATCGTTACCAAACTTTGAAACCAAAATAGCAGCACGTTTGGTTAGGACCCATCCTATTACGATGTAAGGTGCTCTATCGTTACCAAACTTGGAAACCAAAATGGCAGCATGTTTGGTTAGGAACCATCCTATCTTACGGTGCTCTATCGTTTCCAAACTTTGAAACCAAAATAGCAGCACGTTTGGTTAGGACCCATCCTATCGTAAGGTGCTCGCTCTATCGTTACCAAACTTTGAAACCAAAATAGCAGCACGTTTGGTTAGGAACCATCCTATCGTACGGTGCTCTATCGTTACCAAACTTTGAAACCAAAATGGCCCTCTACCAATGTACTGTATTATATGAACTGGTAGAAATATACCTGAGCATATTCTACAAGTCCACTTGAGTGGACTGAGTCCAAGTCTACATCTCAAAATAGCGACTGTAGCGTGTCGATATAACTCATTATTGAATTTATATAAGAATAAGGAATAATGTTAATTCATAAATTGATATCTAATATAGTATTGTACTGTATAGACAGTATTCTAAACAATACTACAGTATAATGCATATGTAACACAATTTTTACTGTATCAAATCTCCAAATTATAGATTTAATTGGATTTAACCGATCAATTTGGATAGCAAAAAGGAATTGAATTAGTTAGAATACTGTGCTTCTTAGTCGCTGTCTCAATAAGAGAAAGAGGACCGGTAACGATCGTTCCCTATACTGGGTTGTCATCAAAAAATGAATCCAAAAAAATTATCCCCTCTAAATAAAAATAAAAATGATAAAACTTACTAGTTTGCTGGAAATAATAACCGCAATGTCTACGATTTCAGCGATGGAAGATGATAATAGAATGACCAGGGAAATGACAAGTCTCTTCATTTATTTCACTGAAGGGTCACTTTACAAGATAGGTGCATATGCAGCAAATGGAAACTCATCTTGTAATATAAATTCATAGAGTACATGAATAAAATAATATCGTTACTCCATGACAAACCCCATGGCAGCACCAATGTGGTTGAAATGAATAAAGCTGAATGAATAGAGTGAATAGACGAATTTAATCCCCTTTATTTTTTACTTACAAAGTTAAAATTATTTTAACACATAATAATAATATATATATGATAATAATTATTATTATCATCAGTAAGAAATGAACCAATGCTATCCTGAACAACAATTCGCCATTTAAACTATACATTCTCAAGCTTCTAATACAGTATAGTAGTATACCTTGTAATAAATAATATACAAGAATATCCTTCCAATCGACCTTAGTAAATGCATTATAGAGTACTGTACTACAGTATATGAGCGTCAATTTACTTGTACAGTATTATACGCGTATAAATAGGAATCATAAACAATTTCAATAAACCAGTGCAAGTGCTGGCGTTATGATCTGTAACAACTACTCTATTTATGCGATATAGTATATATACGATAATTATATCAAGAATTCAATTTGTTATACTACAAGCTGTTATACAATACATCAACTACTGTACCGTTGAAAACTCTGCATGTAAATACCATAATCATCTCAAACTATGAATGAGTAACGAAAATGATAGTCAATTAAAGTAATCATAGTACGCATATTAGATCAATGACATGTTCAGCTCGCAGCTAAACTTCTTCATTGCAAAGCAAATTCTTTTCTAGGGTAAGGTTCATCCAATTATGTTTTAATATTAAATTTAGTCAGATCAGGGAAAGTCACATTATAATCCTCATCTGTTTCGATACCAACTTCCTCCTACAAAGTGAACCAAGAAAACGCATTTTAAGCCAAATAATTTCATCTAATCTAAAACTGGATACTTATACAAATACATAAAATATTAATTCGTCTATTTTTAATACTTTCTTGTACAAATACTCACATAAAATTGTTTCTTGCTTTTTGGATAGCCTTCCAAGATACAATTAATCATTTCAGAACCCTGAAATCAAATGTTGTAAGCTACTTAATGACGATCCAATAAGATATTAAAAATTTTATATACAAACAAGAACGAAGTCTTTTACTCACCATGCGCTTCCTCTTTCGCCAATGGCCAACGTATTTTTTAAGATTTAAGTATACCTAATTTCAAATAGGATGCAGGACTTAATACTACCCAAAAAATAATTAGAACCGGTAATAAGCCGTCATAGTTTCACAATTACCTCATCCCTTTCTTTTGGAGATACATTCTTCGCAACTAAAATATGAATAACAGCATTGACTAAATATTAGCTAAATATCCCTATTAAGTTCATTAAACGACATTCGCTGTACTTCATGTCGGTAATATCAACGCAAAAGATGATGTGAAATAGTCTTCCACTGTATACCTTCCTTAACTTTTTTTAAATTTTCTTCAAGCTTTGCGCACTAAAAGTAAAAGGGGTAATAACATCTTATTAAGCCAAAGCTTTAAAAAGAGAAATTTTTCTTGTTAATGAGATTGTGCTGTAAAAGACTATAAACTAATACGGTACAATACAACATTTCAGTGGCTGATAAAAACTTCAGTACCAGCTGAAATTTTTATATAAATGTACACGAAAGGCACACTGTCACTATTACAATTATAGTACTATGATACCTCTTCTGTTAATTCATCGCTGGTTTTTATCGCATCTTCGGTGCTCAACGTATTCCCTAACACCTTAATTTCTGTTATAGAGTAGACATTAAATTGAATTGAATGATATAGATAAAGATTTGATAGTCCTTAAGGTGAGTTTTCACGATAATGATGAATGCAGCATATAATGATGCATCCATTTTGACACTTTACCGCAATCAATATGCAATTTTACACTCTATTAGTGATATATGGCAGTTGTTACTGTTCCACCTACTATGCCCGTATATTATTCTAACGTCGAAAAGTTGATTTTGTATTCGGATAAGTCGGGAATGGTATCTAACTAACCTGATTCAACTGAACCACAAAAGCTCTGTAGAGTCTTTAATTCGTTCTGCAAATTGGCAATGTTTTTGTCCATTTCATTAATTTCATCATTGCTAACAGTTTCCATTGATGCCTATATGTGAAACGAATAATGAAAGACTGATACAATAATTACTTCAAACACGGTCGCGTTGATACATTTCTTCTCAGAACAAATATTTTAATGGTGAAAAATGTAAATGTACAGTATACAAGCATGGACGCAGAATGTAACGATAAATGGATAGCACTGCCGTCACTACATATTACATGCGGAATTCTATAGTATAAAACAATTCATTTGCAAGCAAAGGTATGTGTTGGGAACTTGAATGTACCTGATTGATCACGTACACCTTTTGCTTTCCGTAAGTCTTTTCGATTAGTTTCTTCTCCTCTACTAGATCCAGCACCGCTTTATTAATAGCCTAAGTTGCCATAGTAGATCGTATACAAATATATTAAAAGTATACAGCATACAGTCATTCAAGAATTTTTTTGTCTAGCTACGAAATGATTATAATTTCATCTTTAATCTGACTTACCGTTTTACCATATTCTTTATGTAAATTATTGAAGATGTCAACTGATGTATGTCATGAAAATAATGCATTATGGTTCAGATTAATAATTGTATAATTACATCATGAGGACGCGAGCTATTAAGATTCATCTTCGATGTTAGGAAAAGCATTTAATAACAACTGCTGTATTATCCATGCTGCATTTTACAACTTGGTGATAATAAATGTCAGAGACTCACCGATGCTGTAAGGTCTATTTTGTTGATAAAAATATTCCAATACTACTTTGATGACTGGTAATTCAAAAAATTGTCATGTTAGAAGATTGAATTTATTAAATTGTATCAACCCATCCAATGCAAAACACAAATCCCTGCATATCACTTGAATTACTATCGAATACATTAATGCAAATAATAACACTAGAAGGACGACGAAAAAAAGGTATGTAATACATTTATCAACTACTTTGAACACTAGCTATTGTATCTGTTGGTATTAACATCAATCATTCAACATTATCACTGAAAACATTTATCGACGTCAAAGACTGAATACGTAGAATGGTCAGAAGAAAGTACATCATTATGAAAATTTCAAAGATTGCCTACAACTATACGCCAAGGTGTTTATACATCGGTATTGGCCAACTTACTAGCATCATCTTTGCTTTGTTTCGTCATGATGTGTATGAGTCAATGGTATCTTGCGATTCTTCTGCAAGATAGAATCACTTCGAGGTGAGTTAAGTAAGCTTCTAGCTGTAACTTTGGCGATATCCAAAACAAGAAGAAGAATTCTATCAGTCAATTTGTATAATTGCAATATCGATTAGTAATTTGGTTAGCAGCATCGATCAGTCAAGGATTGGCAGACATCCTATATAGAAGCGTCTTTCCTCTACCATAGTGAGCGTGCAGCGGCTTGCTTGTCCGAGCCTGCATTGAAATACTGCAATTAAAAATTCGCGGGGAACTCACTGCGCAAGTACAGTTACAAGAAGTCCTTCTTGCAGTCTGTCGTCTTATTACGTGAAGTTATCCCGGGTACAGTACTGGTCCTGGTATTACAGGGATTACACCCAGGGTTAGGGTCTAACTTAGGGACAACAGTGCGTTTGACGGCCTAAACGGGTTGCAACTTCGATGCATAGTTTATTTACTGTTGATTTGACGCAATTGTGAGCTATAATCATACATTCTGGATAACTTCCTTTAGTAATTTCCAGGTTTAATAGCTGAATTTAACCCAGTATCATTCTTAAAAGCTATTTACAAACTCATCGGTGCTATCATGAAGTTGAAACAATTAGAAAGTCATCTCCAAATGGTAGTAAGATGCCTTCGATTTTAGGCTTGTATTGATATCATTATATCGACAGTTTCGTAAAGCTACTGAAGTATTAATAGATAATTTTTGCCTGTATATCTTTGGTATATGGATATGTTTATCATGGTTAAAAATGGATAACAGGTAGACACATTCGATAAACCTAAAATTAGCCTGGAGCAATATGCAACAACACCACACATTGCAGGTTAAACCAAGTTTTTTTAGGATCAATGAGCTCTATAGTATACAATGTATATATATATATATATACTCGAATACTTTACATTATATGTACAGTATTAGTTAGTTATATGTTCATGAATAGACATTATATGATGTAAATTACACGTACGAATAGGTTGGACTCACATACCACATGGAAAACTTCAGTAATATTACAAGTATCGACATGAGATGCTGAAATGCAAATCACTAACCGTAAATACAGTAGTTTAGTATGATATACGAGGATGTAATAGTGCCATGCCTAGTACGAATACTACCTCACGCTATTGGCTATACGAGTAATACGATCGCAAATATTGTCCAGATGCAAACCCGGCTCCGGTTACTCGTGCATAGTAACGGATCATTTCATGATTTCGACATGTAATCGCTTACATATCCAATAATGTAAAATATAGCTCACTAACATGTATAATTAACTAACAAATATACTCGTAGTAGTAGCTTGTGGCTCTTTCATCGTGAGCAGTTCAGATATTCAATTAATTAATTGAAGGCTTATTATTGTACCTTTAGCTCATATGTTATACAACATCGATACTATGTACAACGATATTCAAGGCAAGTTGGTATGTGACTTAGGCTGTGGCTGTGGAGTTCTTAGTGTCGGCACGGCCATGCTCGATGCCAGGTAATATTAACTCAGCTTGATCACAATCAATACTTTAACGAGATAGAAGTACCCAAATAACACTCACTTTGTCTAGCTATACGGTATACATAGGATAGCTACATATTTCCTACCATTGACTATAATAACGAGTGGATGCGCTTACCTACTCGTATGCTACACATTAATAATCATTTATACCAGGTCAGTGCGGACTTGACTATGCTGTTTAACTACCTATTACTAGGCGTAATGCATAACCTGCGTGGTTGAAATATGGTCATTTATTATATTTACATGTGGAACATAGGCTTATGACTTCATGCCCTTGTGTCTTTATGTACGTCTACGCTTACCATTTAAAACTTGGCATCTTTTCAGTTTAATTGTAGGTATTGACATCGATGATGATGCTCTAATGATAGCTAGAAGGAATATCGAAGAATTCGAATTAGAAAATGTACAGTTAATAAAAGCTAATATTTCCGGTAATTGAATTATGACCGAAGCTCCGATCTAGTTGCGGTTCAATTACGACAATAGTGATAATTTAATCCGTTAATGCTCTAAAAATCATTTATTATTCTTTGTTTGGAGTTATCGTAGTAGTTATAGCTAAGAGACCGGTATTCTTTAATTGCAGACATGTGTTTAATGAAGTTTTTCCTGTCTTGATACTAATTTTCAGATACAGAATTTTTTGGTGGTAAGATTTTTGATACTGTAATTATGAATCCCCCATTTGGTACAAAAGATAAAGGTATGGTCAGCTAGGATCATTTTGCTTATAAGTATCGAATATTGGCTCTGTATTCATGATTACTATCCTTTAAATTCCTTATAAAATTAGGTATTGATATGATATTTCTACACCGAGCGCTAAAGTTAGCATCAACGTCTGTATATTCTTTACATAAATCATCCACAAGGCAGCACATTAAAAAGAAGGCTGCTGAATGGGGCGCAGAAATGACCGTATTAGCCGGTACGAGAGACCTAGTACGGAGTATATGTCAGTAAAAATATAGTAGAAATGTCAGTGGATCTACTACCGATTTGAGTCTTATGACTGAGATACTGAATATGCTATACTTATGCTACTACAGGAGATAATTTTTATATTTAACTACGTGAATATACTCTTAGCAACTATCAAAATTAGCAAAGGATACAAAAATTTTCATAAAACTGCCGCCTATTTTGTACTTATTTACAAAATAAACATCTCTAAGGATATTCTGTTATACCGGTATATATTTTTTTAAATCTTGATCATCTTCAATTTTCTTACAGAATTACGTTTCAATTTAGAAAATACATATAAATTTCACAAACACAAATCTGTAAGTTAATACGATAATGACTTTTATTTTTGAATTATTAAAATCAAAGTAATTTTTTATATGGCATCAGTTTTACAGACGCTGTCTTTACTACATTTTTATTATATTATAGGTTGATATAGCAGTGGATTTTATGAAATTCGACTGCTCCTCAACCACCATCTAAGGAAAGCGAGGCCGCGCATACAATCAACGCATCAGACTGTCCCTTATAAATGTTTATCAAATCGTAAAGAATCTTGTAACTCAACATCTCTCAAATACTTTATACAATTCTTTCAAGTCGGCTATTTTCAATATTGTTCCATCATCTTGAAACCGCTTAGGCAAGAATAAAGACGACTTAAACGCAGGATACAACAAGTGTTCTACTTTCCATTTCCACATTTTTCGTTTATCAACTTGCTATATATAAAAATTTTTACATGTGTAATAACTGGATTAGATGTTTGTGATAGTGAAATTGTATCAAAGTATTTACAAATACCTGATTTTTTTCACTGCATTGCAATAATAAATCATGTCCTTTTCGCATAGCATAAAACCTACTACATTCTATAGCAAAAGTCTTAAAGCAGCTTTCTTCATGGTCCCAATTAACCTGATAAAGTTCGTTACAATTATCCGCAACGTCAAGTGAAGTATTACCAGCAAATCCGTGAATAAATACACACCATAGTATAAATAAATACGACGCATACTTACTTCAGTAGCCAGTCTTAAAGCAAACATGGGCAATCCTAACAAGTCGGGTTCGTACCCATCCAAAAGCATTGGAAGAGTTTTTATACAGCCCTTGCAATTTATAATAAAAACATATTTTACAGCATAGACTGTAAAAAGAAAGTACTTCCCTAAGGAAGTAAAATATCTTACTTTATCTATCTCTAAGGAGAAGTAATCGGTCATCATTTCTCCTTTCATTTGCAAAAATTCAGATACATGTTGAGCAAGGTCCTCTTTCGAACCATCTTCTTCAGTCCAACCTACAGATTCATTTGTTAATCAATACAACAGTATTTTTTTTGATAATGTGCCTGCCGAATAATAACATCAATCATACCACTGTCTTCACTATCAAGCGCTAACATAGCTAAATCGTAGAGCGAAGCAGGACTCTGCAATAATTAAACGGTGTTTAAAATTTTGACAAACTCCGTTAAATGTTATCGTAATTATAATTACACATGTACTTACACTTAATCGAAACTTTTCAAAATTTCCGAAATTGAAAATAATTGATTGATAGAATAGCTCCTTGCTATGAGGAAAAAATGTATCAATCAGTGAGCCATTCTAACGAGCATAAGAAAGGAGAATAAGTATCTAAAAATATCACCTTAAATTGGTAGTATTTCCCAAATATAGACCCGTCTAATTGGAAATGAAATAATAACAACAGAATTAGTACAATGATAATCAGTAGGTCGCTGATATGATTTAACTACGGTATATCGTACATTGTAGCTGCATGACAAATAAAATAAAATATTACAAATTAGTAATTAAACTATAATTTATAGTCATAATAATTAATAGATAGCAGGATGCAAGACGTATGGTTAAAGTAGTTTCATTAGTTAATTTCGCTTAATAAAAATTCTAACTTCGAATTGGAAGGCCGCATGAGATTCAGTGACACACCCAACAAATTGCATTCCCCTAACCATGGCCTGAAGTTCTTCAGCAACATTCTCTTCCACTGCATTTCTAAGATTCTGTACACTAGTTAGCTTTAACTCCCGCTGCTTAGTTAGTTTTCTATAATGAATGAAAGTCATTAAGTGCAATGATTTCAGACAGGTGTAATGTACTCAATCATGCTAAAGGGTTTTTGGATTACCTGTTAGAACTACGGGTCTTTTCAGCTGTATGCTTTCTATAATATAATATGTGTAGACCCATAACACGTTAGCAATTGAAAGAATATCTACAAATGACACAGAGTATACCTCTTCTCTCCCTGTTGAGAATGAATTGCAATATCTTCTGCAACCGAATTGTCATCTATTATTACTTCTTCAGGTGCATTAGTTACTTCACTTTCAGTTAGCTTTTCTTTTATTGCTGGTCTTTCTTTCTCTAGTTCATGAGAACAACTGCTTGAATGGGAGGTATTTGAGGTAGGATTTTTAGGTTCCAAAAAGATTTCTAATTTTTGGCTGAGATGGTCTGTCCTGACTAACTGATGTGCATACGCTTTCTTTTGGCTAATACTGCCGCTTGATATAGGCACTTCAGCATTATCTTGTATGACTTTAGTTTTCGTGGTAGGCCCAGAAGTAGTAGGTAAAAAGGTCTATATACCCGTATACAATGAAAATTAATCGTTGTAAATATGTATTAAATCGATATCATTCAATCAACATTTAAATAGAAAAACCTGCGCCAAAAATGTACGAGAAGAGTTTGCTCCAAGCAGTTTATTCTCAATTACATTCTGTATTGCATCAATGATCTTATCTTCATGGAGAAATTGAACCTACGTTATTAAGATTAAGATACAAAGTTGAAAATTTAAGATATCAACTAGGCCATCAGCAATTAAAACCATGTAATACCTCGTGCTTGGTTGGATGCATATTGACATCTACGTTTCTCGGCGATATCTGAAGACTAAAATGTAATAATTTGGTTACCAAAAACATTAAACCTTACATCATCATTGTTATCGCCAGTAAAATCATTATTGACTGAGAATACGTACCTTAGGTACAAAAATGGGTGAGTATGTTTTGGAAGGTAAGCTGCATACACATTTTCGATAGCTTTTCTTAAATTACTACACTCAACCAATCGATCTAATCAAGTTTACATACGATACTCACTGTTATTGTTGATAATCACATGAAATCATAATTTCCAATAGAGTCTTGATTAGGCTAAGAAGTAGCTATGATATACGTTATACAAATGAGCTTAACGTACTATTAAACTAATAGATACTAACGGTTTATAAATAATAAAAAGATACACTTCTTGGCGGAATAGTTTGCATTGGAGATTAAGCCATTCATTCCAATTCCCAACTTTTTATTTTCAAGAGAAACCTCGAGTAATTCCCTAGCGTATTGAAACATACATTAAAGATAGAATCCAATACACCTGCATTAATTTAAGGCTTGCTACTGACAATTTATATATGTACAGCGTATGACACAAAGAGATACATGTATACAATACCTTGCTGTACTAGCACCATAGATTGTTCTAATATTATCCAGCCGAGAAGATCCAGAGGTCCTAACAGTTGCATTGCTATCACCGTACTATGAAGAATCATGTTTAGTTGCTTCATTGTCGAAAAATGATGTTTGGATACTGCATTAAAATCTTATCTCTATAAAAACTTTCGTAATAAAGTGTAACAGGATCTACCTTCTTCAAAATAAATCCAACGCCTTCTTGGTGAACTGCATATCTAGGATTAAAAAGCAAAATATGAACACTACCATCACCGACTCTTTATATTATAAGACTCAAAGCATGCTTTAACAATACCTAGAAATAACCTCTGTAATTTTGTTAAACTCCTCGTTTGGATTCTTAAGAGCCTTTAGCCTCAGTGGTGTATTAAAGAACAAATCTTCTACCTTTGAAAATGATAAAAATAGTAATCAACAAGCAGTAATTACTATGACAGGAATATTAACCTACATTTATTTGTGTTCCAACATTCCCTGCGCATGGTTTCGGATCTGCTGATGCATTTGGCTGGCCAGGAACCATTTTACCATCAGCATAGGTTGCTCTAGATAAAGAAAGATTATGGTAATAATAATTAATAATGTAACCGTGAGAGATATTACACTTTAAATCACTTCATAATGTTACTACCACAAGGAAGGTGTTAGGAGTACTCTCTACTTGTTATATTTTATACACAGACGAGAAAGCTATGTAAACTGGTAGATCACCAAGCAATCATGAGTTACGCAGATTAGTGCGGAAGTTTTTACGACAAAGTATGGTCTAGACATGCAACTTTAAAATAGTTACCAACGGCGATTCGCTTTTAAGTCAATAACCAATATATCGATTTAAATTAGCAACCTAAAATCTGCCAGACTAAAGTACTTCTAATGGTTCATATCCTAACCTTACCTGTATGCACACTTAGAATCTTCAGTTCTAGTCACTATAGCAACATGAGCTACGTGGCTTATGCTGGCCAAAGCCTTAAGTGATGGATATAAGATATGATTACATATATCTATATTGAATAATTAGTAGTAAGTCATTTACAATTTCCTACAAAATATTCGATGACAGCTTAATGTATATAAAATTAAGTTCAATAAAAATAGAACAGAAGATATTCACTCATAAGATTTATTCCAATCGATGATTAATAAATCCTTTACATATTGATTTACTTTTCGCGATTTAGTGATATTCTATAATCAAAAGGCATCACGAAGAATCTATAATATGCCTGATGTATATCCCAGGCGGAAACACTTCTAGATTCAAGCTTTATGACGTCATCACAATCTAAAATTTCTCATCTATTACATTAATATCGACATAGCTACTAGCGGATCATTAACTATGCGATAAACGGACACTGCATCATTACGATTACCATTCAAGATGGAATCTAACTAGACTGAATGAACATTGTCCCTTCCTGATATGTAGAAAGTTACCTCTCCTCTGAATCCATACGTGACCATTGAGCTTAAATCTTCAAATCTTGATAGCTTACTGGTTGTAAATCGTTCACATACGATATCAAGATCTTCTTTCTAAAAAAATTGAATATCTTAAAACTTTAAATGGCCAAGTAATAATCAATCTTAATGATGCTTATGAAACGATCACTAAAATAGTGCTGTGATAAAATATTTTGATATTTGTGAATTTTTTAAGAGTCAAGGTCTGATAGAATCCACGTCATGTATGACTTTGAATTACAGCCATTGTATAGTCGATATTAATATTGTAATGGATTGTACTACATTGTAAGTCTTGTCAGATCATATTTAGTTAAGATAATCGTATCATCAAAAGCTAAACATGTATCAGTTTCAGATCGATTTTAATTTTGAAATACAAGAGGGGTTTTAGCCACAATGTACGCTCAACGCTGTACCTCTTTCAAAGAATCGTTACTACTTGCTGTTTTATACTATTACCTTAATTCCATGACCATTATCTTGAATTTGAATTAATTTTAAGCCACCAGACTTGACAGTTACTTGAATCAAAGTTGCTTTTGCGTCAAGGCTGCCATAATTAAAAAGCGGAACACAAAGCAGGTGTCAGAATTGCAGTACAATAAGTATACTGAATAAAGATTTCTCTTGTATTGAATATGTAATAGGACAGTGATACATTCTACACTAAGGTAGGAGTGAAGATTATCCACTCTATATCAATCGTGAGCAGTAAAGATAATATTTAAGAAATAATGCATCAATTGTGATCATGCTGCGAGAGCGCAAGCACCTCACTTAGCTACGTAAGACTATAGTATAACAAGAGGATTACAAAGTCACCAGTCGAATTCCAATGTCATTGTTGCGACTAAGAAATGGCGTATTAACTGTGTTGATACTGCAACTGTCTGAATAACCCATTTAGCTATGTTGTACGAAACTGATATCAAGAGGATTCATCAGTCGATTACAGAAGACACCACTGCTGCAAAGTATGTATGCAAATGCTTTTATATTTCGTCAACTTGGATATAAACGTTTTGACATCATTGTCTGTATTGAGCGGTGTACATGGTATAATCCAGCATGAAATTTCTACATGGCAGTCTATGCAATCGCATCATGCATGTAAAAGTTGCATGCTTCCACCAGTATACGAGCAACACACAGTCTATTACATGTGTAGGTACATCACTGCGTGTAAAATTTAAAAAAATTGAACAACTATGGTGTGACAGCACTAGCAAGCAATGGCTGGCTCTCCTGTACTGTAGAGTGTACATACGCCTACTATCATTTGACGAGCTCTACAGGTGATCCATAATGTAATCTATTCCAGCATCACTAACCTATTTTCTATCATTTCTTTAATTGCGTTGGCTGGTCTTTGAATAACCTGCGCATAAGAGTAGGAAAGATATTTGATACATTGCAAGTAAAATGATGGCGGTTTTGTCAGATGGATGATGCCTCGTTAATATTGCATCCATCAAGCTAGTACAGTACTCTACCTCTCCAGCAGCAATTCGGTTGACGACTTTTTCATCTAGTTTTTGAATTTTTCGTTCCATGTCAGCTAAAATGAATGATCTTACAACTTAGCCTGCTTGTATAGTTTAAAATACGAAAACTATTCACAGCGGTAAGCATAAATAGAGACCATCGAATCTTCATCCAGCAGTTAGGCTGCACGAGATGTGTTTTGATGATTATTTTCGCTGTGTTCAATACAATGTCAGGGGTAGGTCGATCAGTCACTATGAAGCCCATGTCAAGTCCATTGACTACCGGCTAAGTTTAGTCTTGCTGAGGCCTAGAGTAGTAGCAAGTCTCCTCGGATGGACGGACTTTCCCTAGCAGATGAGGCCGAAAATATTGAAAAATAATGACTCAGTATGGATCTTCCGTGTCTGTTTTCGAAATCACTCTTATTAATTTGAATCGTATTGATGATGTCAATTGACTGCTTCCAAGCAAAGCTTAGTTACAGCTAATAGAATCCAATGTAATATTACTTCATTTAGAAAGAATCAGTCCATTCAGAAATCGGCTGTCTGCATACTAAAGTATACTAGTGTTCGAAATCAAATGTTTGACCCAATTTGTTGACCAAAGTGGGCTACATGTCTGTCCGTCCAAAGGAGTTTGCAGTCTACAGTAGGTATTCTTCGCGTAGTCCATGGCTGATACTCACGACAGCCGCTACTATCCAGTATACAGTATCTTTCCACTCAGTCCATACAGTATACAGGAGGTGTATACGCGGTATTTTGCTTTCAAAGTAACGAATGCCAAAACGATAAGCGCAAAAATGGAAAGTTGAGCTCCAAAAAAAGTGCGAGGGATCGCGATACTGCAATATTGGAAATATGGAAAGCCTTCAACTGGCGATGTAGCGAGATCAAGAATCTGAGACTTTAAGCTTTCCTTTTAGTCTACTTTATTGGGAGTCCATGCCAAGCTCGATATAATACACACGTTAACTAGACGTAAGAATTGTGACAACAGATCAGCTCTAGTACGAACATAACTTTAATAACATATCCTAATGCACGTGAACATTTGTAGCATGAGATCTTAATCTAGTACAGTAGATAAGCCGTAAATAGTATTGTACGATATCTAGGATTCCCATCTATGGCGCGTACACTACAAGGTAACAAGCAGTAGTCTACAGGACAGGCGATGTAGACTATTTTCATAATAATTCATTGTAGTCTCTACGTGATTTTTTTTTTTGGGGGGGGGGGCACACTGTCACTCACAACTAATGTTCAAATGCTACAAAATCATTGCTCTTCTTGCAAGTATTTCATCCTATGCAACGGAAGACGATCATTGAAATGAAATGAATTTCATGTTTCAGATCTGCATTCATGCATGGACTACTTGACAATACTGAGAATATTGTAGTACTGGTGTCCATGATTGATGTTATTTATTTGCGGATATTTGGCGGTAACGAAATGAATGAAATTGATTGGTGGATGTGAAAGCGTTTTATAGCTTGAACAAGACTTCTTTGTTATTCAAATTGTACTGGCTATGAAGATCAATGGGTATGATGCAAGTGGTGCAGTTGATGCAAACTCGGCAGCGATGCATTGTGGGATAGTGGCAAGGGTGAGATTCGTTCTTCCAGTATTTGATGGTTTTTCTTTTGTCTCAGCACTGTAAAAATGGCGTACACGAATTGAAATCATTTATTTCACCAAAATAAATGACACAAGTATGTTTATGAGAGCTTCTTCTTAGTACACATGACAATTTTGATAAATTTGGTAGTCAAAATGTGGCAAAAGATGAGTGTTGATTTCTGTGAAAGGAAAAGGAATGAGGCTGTACAGTTATACAATATAGGCACTGTATCTTTTTATACAGTGCGCACAGTACTGTACACTGTACAGTACAGTCAATCTTAAAGAGTACAGTGCGTACTGTAGACTGTACTGTAGTGTAGCCTAGTACTGTATACTGTACTGTACAGTATGAAAACAAGGAAGAATGTTGCAGCCGGCACACGGTACGAAGTACTGTTGGCGTCGCCTACTGTATGGTCGTAGCGTCGTCCACCTGACTTGCCACAATGTGATTGGCTGACTACCAAACAACAATAAAGCGTTGCGTGACGTGGAGTTTTAAGTCACGCAGTTCACGTCACCATACCTCATTCTGGATTCTTTTTGGCGCTGTTGAGTTGACTTGCAGGCTTTCGTCATCCATTATCACCACGTAAGCCAACCACCGATAACATTTTCCTTTTCCAGTACGCAAGGGCGATACACTGCACTGCAGTTGGACGCGAAGAGGTGACGTATTCCGTGACGTAGAAGTGAAGGCAAAAAGAGAAGAGGCCGATCAGTAAGCTTGAAATAAAATAATAATCAATTGCACTACCGTCGTCACCTAGGCATCCATCCATAGTGTGGAGAATTTGTTGATTTGATTTAGCGATGGTTTCTTTACCCGAGAACCATCCAGGCGGACAATAGTGTTCAAGGAGCAGGACGAGGGTGCTATTTCGATCCTAATATCATTTCATACGCTTGCTTTATCCATCCATGGCGCCTTTTTTTTTTCATCCCAGACCGTTTAGCTTGCTAGAATGATCGATCATTGGGATGGTAGTGGATTCTTCAACGCCATTCGATCGGTGAGGATGAATCCACTACCAATGAAAACTCTTTTGCGGGCAGCATTCAACGGAGAGAAAAATGGCCCATTTTCTTTCTGCTTACTACCCAGTGGCCTACTACCGGTGTAGGATAGCCAAGGCAAGCACTCATGTTATGTTCAAACAAGGCTAACTACAGGCCTTGCAATTCAATTGAGCATGATGGAGTAAGTCGTGGACAAATGCATGATTGGTCCATACACCATGCTAGCACGGATGGAAATTCAATCAAACGATCCATAGTACAAACCGACAATGGAGGAGATGATCATATACCTTTGTCAATGAATCAATCCTTCGGGAAACGGCTACCTTGACTCCACCAGTAGGATAGAGGTGGATCGATGACTAACAAAGCGCTTGGGCCTTTCCATCGGTCATTCATGTCGTTGAAAAATAATGGACCAACGTTGATTTCTTCCATAGACTGCTGTTAAGCATGAAATCCAATCATGTCGACGCAGTCGACTATCCAATACCCTTTAAAACAAATACATTCTCCATCAACTTCACCGACTAGACTGTAGTAGGATAGGCAATAGTGTGATGATCGATATCAACGCTGTTGGCCTTGTTGTGGACCATTGCCTTACAAACGTTTGATTGTTCCATAGACTATAGGAAATACATTGCAAATGCAATCAAACCATCTATAGTATACGTATGCCTACAATGCATTCAAAAATGTTATTATGCCTTTGCTTTGTAAATGAATTGACTCTCGCCTAATGACAAGATATCAATCAAGAATAACTGTATATGGGAGGATGCCTCCACTCAGCCAATTGCATTATTAAATGCCATCAAGCATTCTACTACAATCTTGATCAAAGTAGACATAAATTGACAAGTAGATCAAGCCCCAAAGATTTTTGTCTATAATCTATCCCAAACTGGATGCCATTTTTACTGAGTTTATAGTCCTTGTTCAAATGGAATGAGCTAATGTACTGCAATTGACATCAACGTAGACATCAAATTGAAGGTTCCATCAGTTTTTACTTCATTTTTCCAATCGTTACTGAATTCAATAGCATCAACTGCAAATTCCTTCAAACAAAACAAAATTCAATGTTTATCATGCTCCAAATAGAGTCAATTGCCGATCCCAAAGTTAATTACCAGATTTAGTTTGTTCTTGATAATGAATTTGGACAATGAACGCGAACCGAATCGTTGTTGTACGATGCCAAAATGAATTACCACATTAATCTATTGTAGGTTGCTAGCAACACTAGATCATGACAGGAAAGGATCACTATGTTTATGAATGAATTTGTGTATTAACTTGTGATAGATTCTTTGATGGCTATGCATTAGCCGTTGGGAACGTATTTTAACTTCATTTCTTAATCGATGACTGTTGTAGAATTGACCATAGATGGACTCTTTTTGCTGGCCTATGTTATTGACTCCATCTCACTCTCTAATACTGGCATTGACTAGGATAAATTGATACTAGTAGGAATTTCTCTTTCCATATTCAATACAACTGCCGCGTACTTTTAAATAATAATAATTAATCTAAACTGTAAGTAACCATTCATAACTACCACTGTAACTGGACTAGCCTCCTCAAATTACTACCGTACATTCATCCAAGTTCACTGTGTTCTGACCATGAACATACAATCAGTAAATCCAATTTCTAGGTAGTATTATCAAAAATGCATGTGTATGTTCAATCTGTCTCAACCACTATCCATTTAATGAACACCAGTAAACAGCGAATGGCAAACACGACTACATGCTTGCTACTACGGCTAATGGACGATGTGTAATTTGTAAATTCATTCATTCATTAATTCTATTAATGAAGTCTACTATAAACGTATACTGCAATACTGGCTTATCCTTTAAAATACATTACTGGAAGTGAACTTCTTCATGATCATCAATGCTAACTCAAACGCATTGCGACTAGACTTGTTGTGTACGCACTTTTTGTCAAGTTTTCTGAATACAATCAATAGAAAATCTTCAATAACATGATTAGGACTACAGCATGTAGAAATAGATGAAATCATCGAGGTAAGGAAAAGGGCCTATTTTCTTACCTCTACAGTTAAAATTGACTTTTTCCCCTAGTAAATTCCTTCGAAAAGTTGTATCTACATGATCCAAGCAAGTTAGTAGTCTATTTTCTCCGCTGTAGTTGGATTACAGTGTCACTATAATGTACAACAACAATTTACTCGTCATTCAATTCTACCATCGATCCAATGGATACTACTGTCGATGAGAAGAATAATCCCATACAGCTCATCATTATCTACTACAAATGGCTGTTATTGATGATATACGCTACTACAGATTTTTTCAAAAGACATTTCTGCCTTTTCTTACCACTAATCACCTACGTCAATGCTAACCTATAATCATTCAGCCATTTCATCATTTTCCATACTTTTATAATCATGGAAGTGAACATTTATCAATCACTTTGGATTGGAATCTACTATATTCAATTGCTCTGAAAGAGCCAAAGAACACAATCAATCTATCGTTGCCAACGAAATGGATTGATTTTTCCCCCTCTACTTGAAGTATCGTTGACTCCTCAAGTTTTCAACAGAATAACCGCATGCAATATTTTTTTTATCCTTTTTAATTGATTGATATTCATATGCCGGCAATTCATTCAACTCGGTAATTCATTGTGACTAGTATAATGGCAATCATGGAACATTTAAACCATTTTTTATTTTTTATTTTGTATGATTGGCCTGTTTACGGTCTCTTTTGCATACATAAATGCATAAGATTGGATCGAGGTCATACCGATTTAGACATGCTTTTTAAGCCAAGAGATAAACAAAATCATCATCATCTTTACTCTTGCAATGACCTTTCTCAACAGCGTAAGATTTCTAATCTAAATAGATCTACTTTGACAATGAGGATACAGATTATTGGAGACATAAATGCATTATCTTGAATAAACACTACGGAATTGCGTTAACAGTTCATCGTATTATTTTTTACAGTTTCAAGTTCAAGTTGTTCCACAGTATTCAGTTATTGGATCACTAAAAGGATAATTGCTATGCTTGACAAATAGTGCGCCTTTCAATGCATGTTGAGATTATGCTATGTGTCCATGCATTAGAATAAGTGCCAAGAAGTTATGTACCAAATACAAAGTCTATCAAGTCAACAACTGTTCAATAGCATGGATGAACAATGTCCCTCTTATATTTATTATTAACTGACAAAATTGTCTGTTCTTACTCTTCTAACTTTCACTATTCTCCTATAGACTCTGTTACTAAAATTTTATGAACGATATTGGCAAGTTAATGAAGTTATACTCGCTCGATTACATGAACTGAAAAGATTACGTTCATAAATAGAATTGATGCCACTACTATTGAATAGGTACACTAAAAAATCGAAATCTCCACTTTAAAATTTCATTCTCGTTACTTGAATGGCCTGAATCCTACCTGCAAATACTGTTCAAATAGCATAATACCACAAAAAAATCATTTCCAGATAGGCTGAGGATGTCTTCTCGTTGAATTTCTGTTGGTGAATAATAGAATGAAGTAATTGCCAGAGTAGCGTGAATCCTGCATGTAAATACTCTATTTAGATACCACGAAAGATCATTTCCAGATAGGTTATGGATGTCTTCTCGTTGAATTTCTGTTGGTAAATAATAGAATGAACCAATTAATGTTGTATTCTGTATGAACGCCTATCATGAAATAAAGGGCTGAATTCGAGTCCTAAACAACTTGAGAGAGTACATCATTCTGGTAACAGCTCCGCCTTCAACATGCTCCATATTTTATTTTTGCCTGATACTATGATAATATTGTATTGTGCGTTTGTAGCATTTAATGTAACAGTGAAATAAGATAATTAGTAATGCCTCAGCTATCTAGCATGAAAGTTAAAGCTAATGAATGCATTGTCAAACTGAAGACTTTGTAAATCCAGATCAAAAATTCTACCCCTCCTATACAACTCGTATACCGTATTATTTGTACCTTATTTTTTTGTAATGCTACATAATCACCTCTACCATGGACTACTACAAGGTTCTCTTCTACTAGCCCATGCCGCAACATATCAATCAATATCAATTGCAGACATGCTGTATAAACCCCATTGCCAAATGATTGAACTACGTACGGTATTTAACTTACATATCCAACATTTACTATGGATATCACGAGAGCTTTCTATACTTTAAATGACGAAGTAATTCTCATAACTGCCGTAATTTAAAATCCTTCTTAGACCGAGATTATACATATACATATATACTACAGCAACGGTTGCTATTCTTATGTTTCATATCATTCTGTTATTGCCATTTCATAAATTGCTTATAATAGTAAATTCTTGTTGTAGATGACAGTATGCACTATTCCGAAATCTACAGTACGACGAACTAAAAAAATTAAATTCTATAAAACCTTTAGATTAACTGCAAGTTTCAAGAAACACTAGCTTAATAATAACATGGAAGACGTGCAAGATCGCTCTAATGAAATGCTTTCTCAAACTACTTCCTCTCAAGGCAGCAATCAACAAGATCTGCTTACTACTGCAACAGTCTCACAACATAACAATCCAGTACAAAGAACTGCTAATAACATTCCAATTCAAAATAGCGGACAAGTTATCAATGCAGGTATTTTAGTCCAAGCTGGTAACTTAGCACCGCCCCAGCTACCAGTTCAAGGAGTAGATCAATCAGAAGCAGACGATAAGGCAACACGAGAAATGTTAGCAAGGAGACCAAGCTATAGGTAACATTATCTCAATACAGGAATCCATGGATCATTTCCTATTCAATTGATGTGAATAACTGTAACCTTCAATGAAAAAAACATATAACTACTATAGTATTTTATAAATGAACTATTTTACAATCTTACCCAACTTACTCGTATACTGACAGAGTTATACAATTTTCTTATACTTATAATTCAATCTAGAAAAATTTATAATGACATATCCGATTCGAATAATGGATTACCTAAAATAGACATGCCAGATGGTAGTCATCATTCGCAACCTCCCGATGGTAATGATCAAGTAACATCAATCTCAATGGCTAATAACACGACAATTGTTAGCCATCAACAAGCAGGGGGACCAACTGACGTTATGCACCCTGTTGGCGCTCATCAAAACATTGCTATGCAAGTAACTGATTCAACTCCAGTCAATATGCCACCTCATTCAATAGCCGCGATAACAGTTGCTCCTGGTCAGCCTATAATGCAATATACGCAACAGCCACAGCAGGTAATTTTATGTCGTTCTTTATAAATTGAGCAAGCTTGTATTGTCAGTATTGTAGGTAGCATCATGACATAATAATATATCAATATTGATATATATGCAAAGCAACATAGACCACTACTACGAATATCCGTAGATTAGACGATAATGAAAACTTTGCAGCTGTTAATTGAATTAATGTCATACACATACGTTTTTGATGTTTTGACAGGCGTTCCAATTACGACCACCACATCATGGATTGCCTCATATATCACACAACTTAATTATGAATAATCCTAATTTGGCGAATCAACAAATGGCGGAAGAAGCGTCAAGAAAACGTGAATTACGATTAAGAAAGAATAGGTAAGGGTATATACGACTGTAAATACAACATCAAAGTAGTAGTAATAACTTATAGTACGTAGTTATAGCAATGATTTGGACGTTGCTCTATACCGCCTAAACATAATAACTGTAATGTAGGGATGCTGCAAAAGAATGTCGACGAAAGAAGAAAGAGTACGTGAAGTGTCTTGAGAATCGAGTAGCAGTTTTAGAAAACCAAAACAAAGCACTAATTGAAGAATTGAAAGCTTTGAAAGACTTATACTGCCAAAAATCAGACTAATACAGTAACAAGGAACGGTTGCACAGTTGTAGTCTTCATTCAATTTTACTAATGCTACACTGATATTGGGTCATATGACCGGTATCGTTTTAATTTTAATTATAAACTGAATATGCATATAGTAAAAACCATAAGCCTTCACATCTATTCTAATGGTAACATACTAGGCGTGAATTATTTGGATGTTATGAACGCATTAAAATATTTAGTACTAGTACCCCTGATCTTCTGGCATATCTCCATATGCTTTTAGTGCTGCTCTCTGACTAATCCTTCAGATAAAAGTTAAAGTTAACTATTATTGTGTCTGATGTAAACAGTTAGTGTAAATGTAATGTATGCACCGGCCGGACCTAAAAATTTAATAACATTGCCAATTTTTTTGCTATTACGTACGCGTATGCTCGCCAACCTTATGCAGACCAATTTAAAAGCTGTAGTGTATCCTAAACTCGTGCACACTCTATTAGATAATGAAATAGGAATAATTTTCTATAGTATGTTATAAGAGATAGCAGTTATTAGAATCATTTCTAAAATCAATTCAATTCTGAAAGTTTACTTTTTCGTAACAGTAGTATTGTGTGATAACGTATACGTATTGGAGCAATAAGATGATATTACTGTAATATGAATTTTAATAATATTGTATTTGTCAACTTGAACTACTACTGTTATCCGCGATATTCATTGGTTCAAAGTCATCAGTACGTATATATGTATTTTAATATACGTACACTTTACTCATTTTTAGTTGTATAATAAAAAGGTAGCACAATTTTATACGGAATTTATAAATACCGAATACCTTGGAAAAGAATATTTGATTGCATGCCTAATAAATAAGCCTTAGTTAATCAAATTAACAACGCGGCAACCAGGGAACAGAGAATTATTCGATACTTTGACTTGCATCCATTACATATAGTAGTGAGCGGCTCCAACGTCCAATGTATACCAATGCATGAATTTTTAGAATCATATAAGATATCCATAATGTTGCCTGTATAAATCTCGTATGCTTGCTAACATAGGGCAGTTACTGTTTTGATTTTAAATGACTTTATTAGAGTACTCAGACATATCTGAGTGACATGACGACAAAGTATTGCGAAGATTTTAAAACAAAAATTTAATTCTTTTTTCTTCTTGATCAATAACTATATTGTGAGTTTGATAAATGTTAATTGTATTGGATTTTTAACAAAATTGTTCCATATTGGACTCTTAATGGTTTATGATTATGCAACATTGTGCATACATACATATACTAATAGAATCACACTTGAGCGCTATAAATATTGTAATAATTTTTAACGCATATCTGAAAAGCGAGTTACATCCTATATATGTAATTTAGTTGTGTTTTTTTTTTGGCTCTAAGGATTATTAAGATATCATAAATGCTGCACATGGCAGGTAGAAATTCAATTAGAAGCAATATAGGAATAAATATTTCGCCTTTAGTTTAGTTTAGTACAATAAATAACCGCCAAAAATTCTATATTCGTATTACTACTGTTTATTACGAATTAAAAAGAGATAGAATTATAAATCAATAATCAAATCTCGTTGTTCACAAGCTATGCTTCTTGTTGCACCGATATCCATTTATAAATAAAGTCGCCTATACGTTGATTTCAAAATTTACTGTAGCTTATCGATGTCTGTTCCTTTTTCCGATAATTTCTCATGTACACCCTTTTTCATCACATTGACTATAAACTTCATTAAAGTTAACCAAGCATCTTCTATCGCTTTGTTGTATTTCCTTCCCAAAATTTTCTTTAACATGTACAAGAATGCAGGTGGTACACTCTATTGGAATACGGTAACAAATCAAGGGCGTTATTTTACATAAACTGTACTACAAAACAGAATGTAGAATCAAATTATTGCCAAGAAAGTAATTTCTGTCACTATTTATAGCAAGAATATCATCATTAAAGATAAATGTCGTGTTACTTAATGATTTACGCCGCTATCAACTATATACCCAATCAGAGATGCAAGAATAATGAAGTATTGGAATAAGGATCAATACTATTTTTTTTTATTTAAACTTGCCGCTATTATTTCCGTTTACCTCAAAGTATTCAACTGGAACTTCGTAGCTTGCATGCCTACTACCAATGGTCAATATTAGGAAATGGCTACTCCTAATATTAAAATTCATCTCGATAATTGCATCAATGGATTGCATTAATCTTAATGCATGGCCACGGAAATGAGGACATAGCGATAGCTCTTTTACATCTTCATTAGCATCAAACACCGTAAACACGCTTTTAGCAGCTGGATTAATCTCAAAAAGTCTATGATATTTTTTCAATCAACAGAGAAATTCAATCAATTTCTAATTAAGATAAATATTACAATTTCACAAATGGAAAAATCTCTCAGGTTTGAAATGATAAAACATTCCATACAAAATTTCTATAGTTACAGTAGATAGTGCCCGTCAATATTAACAAGCAATAATAATATTTCTCGAATAGTCGTAGTAAAAGTTATAACGCAGACACCAAGGGCTATTTATTTATTTTAGTACGGGCATAGCGTAAAGAGAAAATAAAAGCACTATTTTAGGAATAAAAGTTCCCCAGAAATGCAATCTTTAGGAAAAACAAGAGAACAACGTGAAAACAGTTTATTGCCTGCAGCGATGTCAAATTTAAATTGATATCATATCCACGCGTATTCTTCTTATGGACGATCTACGTCAAGTATACAATTGCAAAATTGGGTAGGGCTAATATTCCCATGCCATTATAGTAATTAAGAATTGAAGAAAATGGTCAACGCTCAGATTAAATGAGCATCATATCAGTAATAGGAGGTTTTTTTAATTTTGATTTACCATGCAGTTACTATAATCAATGCAATTAAAGAGTGTTTCTACAGCCAATATAGAATACGGGTACTAATTATTCAATGAAGAGAAATCATTCAGTTATAAGGATATTGAAAAATAGTAGTGGGTTAGCTATTTATAATTGTGATACTCTGCTGCAATTGTTTCAAGATTCACAAGTTTAATAATTACTGCAAGAGAATAGTATAGAGACCAAGATGTACAGTAAAAATTTTACTAGGCCGGGCTTCCTAAAATTGGAACAAGTTACACTTTAATAATTTAATTGCTTAGTATTCAGTTCTATCATGCCGTCGTCCTTCAATTTTAGGACATCGCAGTGAGAATAATTTGTACCGTTAGATTGAATAAGCATTCAAAAGAACTTTAGCTCTACAGCAAATAGTTACGATGATTAGCAATGATCAATTCTTTCATTTCATCAATCTTCATAGAACAAGACATTTTAATTGAAATGGTCATTTCCAGGTTCACATGTGAAAGAATTGAATTCAGTAAAGACCAAGGGTAGTTATACAAATGTTTTATTTTACTATACAAAAGTCGTTCAGTAATTCGTCTAGACTAATCTGGATCGGAACTTAGCACAAAATTGAACATTTTAAACATGAACAATAGTTTTGGATGGCATTGGATTATGAAGGAATAGTCCCAAAAAATTTAATAAGACACTACAGAAAGAATTCCGATTTCATCCTCTCAAATATGTAAAGACTCCTTTGATATAATGTTTACAACTGAATTTTTGTCAACATCTGATAAGTTTAATTGAAATGTAGAATATAATAAAATGATCCAAAATCGTTTCTAACTGATGTATGAATCTATAGTCCTCATTTCCCTTTAGAGAAGATAGTATTGAAACTGATCATTATTTGAAGAAGAAACAATTTTTACACATGCATGTGGTAGACAGTTGTATCTTATCATAATACCTTTTTTACATCTTTGGTACCAATCACGAAATAAAATTCATTGCTTTCTTTTAGCTAAGTCTATATCACCAAATTCATTGGCTACTTTGCCATAATATAAATCATCAGTGAAATGGTATTGCATCGATAAATAGGCAAATGACTCTTAATAAATAAAATACTTCAGTAGCTGGATAATTTAAGCATTTTAATTTGTTGATACGAACGCTGTACAAGGCATAGAAATGAAACCAACAAATAGAAAATTTTCTTTAGGTCGTTAGAGCAACAAGATGGATTTATTATGCTACAGCGATGTGAAACAATAAAAATGAGCCTAACGAATATCGTAACTTTTAAAATGGAGAAAAGTCTTTTTTATCTTCTTAAAATATCGAGTTGCATCTTGCTATCTTGTAGCTATGAAAAGCCATAAAAAAATAGCCTAACGAATGTTGTGACTTTTAAAAGATAGGAAATTCTTTTTAGGACTTTAAACTAGCGGATACGCTTTTTTTTTATTATTATAACTATACAAAGGCATGAAAAATGAGCCCATCGTATGTTGTGACTTTTAAAAGACAGAAAATTCATTTTAGGGCATTAGAGTAGTGTGATATATTTTATAGTAGCTATGCAAAGCCATGAAAACCGGGGCCGATGAATGTTGTAGCTTTTAAAAGATAGATAATTCTTTTAGGGCATTAAAGTAGCAACAGACGTTTTATTTAGTTGTAGCTATGCAAAATCATGAAAAAAGAGCTTAACGAATATGAAGATCTCAATTTTAGGTCCTCAGAGTAACGAGTTGCTTTATATTACGTTATAGTTATGTAGTCCTACGTTTTTCTTCAAGTGCAGCTTGTAGATCTATTTCATTGCGTGCAATAATTTTGCAATTAATAGAAGAAAATTAATATCTTAGAAAATGAAACCTACTCCTATATAATTATAAAGGAAAGGAATTTCTGTTATAGAACTTTCCCTACTTCCTTCAGCATAATGCTCCAGCACAATCCTGAAATTTAAAAGCATCCGCCTAGTATCATTAATCTTCGAAACATCTATTTCATAGGATGCATGTATAACAGAATTTTCTTCCTATATCCTAAATAGCGGGCTATTCAATAAATAAGGTTGGGAAGAAGTACACCTGCTATGGTCGTAATTGAAAATCTGATAGACTATTCACATAGTTCATACATAACTAA